ATGGTCGAAACGTCGGCAACTCAGCCTTCGACGCGGCGTCACCCGGACAGCCCAGATCACCCAATGTAGAGGGATGGAAAATTATCACTTTTGCTAAAGACCCTATAGTGAGACGGGGTTGTAACGGAGTTAAATGCATTTATACATATGGCATTTGTTCCTGGTTGTTAGACTATCTCATATGTACAGATGTTCGGCAGGAACATCAAATCTCCTTCACTCTATCGAAAAATGAACTGTAGAACATTTATGCATTCAGGGTTGCCTGTCAATGAGGCAAATGCCACATGTATAATTGAATACAGATCCATTATATAAAACCTCCCACCTGGCATGCTCTGTAGGTTTATATAATTTATTCGGACACTTGTAGAAAGAATGCTAGATACTATTTTCATAACCAAAGTAGTAATTCACGTGTGATAATTACTTTTGCGCAGAAACGTAACAAACCTATCATTAATTTAAAAGAAAATGTTGTTTATATCCCAAGCTTTATTCTAATTCTGTATGAACTAAAAAAATGAGGTTAAAGAGCTATTTCCATTTGGTCACATTCCGTTGAGCCATCGTGCTGTTTCGATATTTTGCTTTCGTTTTCACTCTTTGTTCGTCGAGTTGCTTTGCTGTATTATGGTTATTTATTTTGGTAATATTGCGTAGGCGAAAACTTTGTCAGTATAACCTTATTATTTTCCTTGTTTTCCATTCTTTTGTGCCTCTTATCACTCTATTCTCATGTTTGACACGATTAGATCACGAAAATTGTTCTGGCTCTTCACTAAGGAGCGAAAAGCGTGTGTACTGACAATGAACAGGTAGAATATATTATTACACTATACTTTTTAAATTCTTAGAAATACGTTATAAATCAATGGAAATTGTATACGCTTCCTGGAACCGTGATGAATAACAAGGGCAAAATGTGGATATTAATTCAAAGAGTAAGTCCAAAATGTATAAAGAGACATTCGCATAAAGTCCTTACCAAAAGATTAGTTTCTATTTAACTGAAAAATGACGATTTCTAACTGAAATTTTGAATCTGCCATGTACCTGTCGTAAATTTTTATTAACCTCTTACAAATATATTGTTGCGTTTCTAAGATGTCTACTATCTGCTAAATTAATGTATCACATATAATCACGAATTTTGAAATAGAAAGTTTAGAATACATTGAAAAGTATATAAGCAATACAAATAGAAATAAGTTCAATTACTTTATGATAAAATTTTGAAACAAAAGTGTGATCTGCGTAATAATACTAATGGAATTTTTATAATGACATGCCAGAAAATCACGGTGCCGTTTAGATTTATTTACTTTTTATATCGCATGTTATATTCATAAGCCATTTTTTATACCCCTATTGTGTAATTCTCGAATTAGATACTAACACCACGTTACATAGCGATAGTTATTATAGTACATATCTGTCTTAAATAGGTGTTTCTTCAGTTAAGGAAAGTTTACAGTTGAGAAGTAATCAATCATTTGTTATCGATATTTTAATTAAATATTTCGTTGTATTTGGAAGCCGAAACCACGCGACGGGCAAACAACAGCTGCAAGTGGTAAATTGCACATGTCCTCTCCTTTTCCAAAACTTAAAAAAAAAATTATAATTCTCAACTCCCCTGTGGGCTCTGTATCAGTTTTTAATCCGATAAAAAAAGATGAGGCACTGAAATTTGATGACCTTTCATTAATAAATTAAATCCTAACCAGACCCGTGTACTCGTTTGCAGTTGAAACGTGCTTAACGAACTAGCGCACAGGTGGCGGTCCTCTAGGTGGCGTTGGCAGAATCTTGCAATCCAGCTGTCACCAACCATTCAATATAAAACTTCAACATGTATTAGTAATCATCAGTAATAGGAAAAGTACTTGAAGTCGTAGTAAGGAACTTTAATAATAGTAATAATAGTAATAATAATAATCATAAATAATAATAATAATACACTTATATGGAATTTAATATACCCGCCCGTTGCTCGGTCGTACCGTAACCTTACATTCGTTTTAATTCACATTATTACATCATTGTATCACAGTGTATTATTAACGAGCACATAACGAAATATCTGTCTTCTCATGCAAGTTACCTTCCGATCCTGCAGGTAATCCGGGTCAACGAGCAGAACTCCCTGGAGCTTGTCAATGCGGTCGCCAGACACAACGAGATCTCTGCTGCTCAGGTACAAGGTCAGTTTATTGTTCGGTGATGATTTCTTGAACACTCTGTAACAGAATAATGACTGTGTTAATTTTAAGAATTGTAACAGTTGTATTGTTTTTCTAATTATCAACAAGGCGGGCAGCTGGCGCTTTTAAATGAATATTTAAGGTAAGTAATAGAGAAGATGCATGGAATATTATTTCGTAATACGGAAATGTTTAAAGATTAAAAAAAATAACAATTTCACATTACGATATTTCTACTGAATTCTTCACATTTCTGCCGTCGATCTCTGACAGTACCAAAATTAAACGCCTGAAACACTTTAGGATCAAAGAGAACAGTGTAAGTACAATAAGATATTCTACAGGAGTCTTGAACAGTGGTATACACACATACAGGTTATACATTTCTTGCAGCGTTCAAAGAGCCACAAATCGGAAACGAGTGCAAGGAAAGGTTTACTTGCAAATGTGTTTATTTTAGTTTTTCTTTGGTCACTATGGTATACGGTCTAAATACAATTACACGGTCTTTTCCCAATTAGAGTATGTTAAAGTCGTTTAAAAAGGCAATAGGAGCCTCCACGGCAATTTAAAAAAGCTTTAGGTGAAATTGACAAATCGATAAATATTAATGGTTATTTTTATTTGAAAGAATAATAGTACATACTGAATCTCTGCATCTGTCACAGAATTCCCATAATATTTCTAAACCCTTAGAAAATGTAATTTGTATTGTCGTGCACAATTTGCCTCAAATAGCGCACACATTTGTGCAAACCAAACAAGCTTATCAGTTCTGAAATATCTCGGAGTTGATTCGCCGTACACCACAATTTTTATATCCACTACGGCAACTGTCGGCCACTTCGACCTCCGACTCTCAATAAAGCGAATTCGCCTCGCGTCTCGCATTCCTTCCTTTCTTTGGTAAGGAGGGTAAAACGATTTCCCAGCGGGGCGGGCAGCGTGGGAGGGCGCGAGTGGCCTGCAGGCTTCGACCTAAGAGAACTCAAAAAATCTCTTAGTAGAAAAGAGGAAAAGCCGAAGCCCATTGATTCTTCTCCTCCACAACTCACAGGCATTCTCCGTCTCGTCACGAGCAGTACTCTAAAAAAGGGGCCATGGACCGCGCGCGATCTTCGCTTCCTATTCCTTGTCCTATCCTCACCTCTTACACTGTAACACGCACTACACTACATGCCGGGAGACCGGTCGGGAGCTTAGAGCTTGTCCCGTCTGAGGCAGAGACTCACTTCTAGGAGATACCTGGTTGGGGAAAACCCACTAGCGGACGGTAGGTTGGCGCCGGATCTCGACGGAGGAAAATCACCGCTACCTCACGAGGAAAAAATAATGCACTACACTTACGGAATGAATGACCTTACTAGTTGACACTGAGAACCGACCAACCAAATCCACCTCGTCACCCTTTATTATCCAGTGGCGTATCTAAGCCGGGGTCACGGACGCGATGCCGTGCCCTCTCTCAAGGAAAAATTGTTTTTGAAATTTTACTGAAATAATTCAAAATAATTTCTATATGTAGATTTCATCCCATCCAAAGTAAAATTCTCAATATGAACACAACCGTACTTTTTATATTTCAAGCTGTAAATTAAAAGAGTATTTTTTACATTATATTTATGGTTTCCAACTGAACTTTCTGTCATGGTATCCGTGCCTGCCATTACCAGACTCCACCCTGTCTTTCCCAAGGATCACTCCATTATCCACATACTTACCCCATCGTTACCATTACCCCACACAAAAACTCCACTGCCCCCCCCCCTTCCCTTTGACCCGCGACCCGAATCAAACCATTTCATCCCCACTCTGCCTTTGCTGGTCTAAGTTGACCTATTCATTCTGCTCACTCACTTCACGATTTTACCCCCACTTCTACCTCACCACAACATAACTCCTTTTGTATTTCACTCTGTCCCTACATACCATCCCATTCCATTCCTCCAATCCGAAATAACTCCACTGTAAATTCCCTTCACTGCAATCGTCTTCACACCAAACTCCTCCTCTCTAATCCCACTCCAAACCCGATTTCGTCTATTTAATCCTTTTCCACTCCAACATTCTCCACCTCAACCCTTTTCGTCGCACTCAACCTTCGCACCTCAACCTTTCTCTTTCAGCCAGTCGAGGGATTTTCCTATCGCCATCTTTTCGAACAGAGCCACTTGTAAAAGGAAAGAGAGTAAAAAGGGAAATTGCATCAGAACTTTACGAGGTTTAAAACATTCGATGGAGAAATAACGAAGTCTCTTAGGGAACCGGAGGACAATTAGATCTGCGCAGAGAAAGCTTACAAAAAGACCATTTGCCGCCGGACGTCCACTGCGGGTCCTCAAGGGAAAGTTGTGATTACGCGGGATGCGGTGCGGCGGGTTGGACAGCGAGTAACGTCGCGCTGTGGGTTGTTATGTTCGTAGAAAGTGAAATGCTTAAACATGTTCAGCAGCCTTTGAAGGCCAGCGTCCAATATTGTGGTAATAGCATTATTTCTGTAGTGATTTTTAATCGTTGCACCAACTCTTCATTGGTAAATGTAATTTCTTTTGACCTCTTTATCAAGTTAATTTATCCATTTTATGTTAATAAACATAGATCTGGTAAAATATGGTTTATTTCATGTAATAGAAACGACGCACTTAATCGAAGCATTATGCATAATCGCCGACTCTACGAGTATACATTTTTATTTTGTGTTTTATTATTTATAATATTTAATAGGTATTATGGTTCTCAAAGTAAGTAATTTAACAAATGCTGACTAAATAGAAACAAATCTAAGAAATTGAAGTGAAATTTAAAAATGATGCACAATACATGTTTGTAAGAACGTGGTACCTTGTTTAAGCATTCAAAAATTATTAGTAAACTGCCTTAATTTAAACATCACTTCTACTAATAATACGCAAGGCAGGACCATAATTATGATTTGTTGTTTTGTATTGGTTTTACGCAATATTCAGCTTTCGTGTTCTATATCATTACGTAAATTAAGTCGTCCCTAAAATAAACAACATAAAATGTCATTCATTTATGATTAACTGTCAATCCCACAACTCCTCAGACAATATAAATAATAACTTTCCCACCAGTAGATCCATAAAATGTTCTAAAAGCAAGATACCAGATATTGCATGGTGCCACTAGGCCAACACGACTAACCGCAGAGTCGCTTCGTTAGGCGCGACTTTCCAGAAATGACGAAGGGTTAATAAGATATAATACGTGGATTAAAATACTGCTCCGAGTATGAATTTGATAAAGGCTCACGCTGATGGCGCAAAAACCTACACAAACTGCAGTGTTGAGAGATGAAAGCGAAACTTGTGGATTACGAGACAATCCATTTCACTTTATTTCTGAAGTTAAGATTCTAGGAAGAAATGAAAAAGAGATTTTTTATAGAGGGCAGGACCTAAGATGACAAGAATAAAAATACATTATTTCGCAGTTTCCATGCTAAAACAAAGAGGCGGTTGCAAAAAATAGACAAACTGTGGAAATGCGAGAAGTGAAGTCCTCTTTTGATTTTAATTTACAGATTCATTTCAGTAATGCACTACCTTTATGGCTGTGATTGCTGTGTTTGAACTCCCATACAATTGTAATAAAAAATTGTAATATAAAATTTTGCTGGAGCACAAAGATAAAATTATACTTTGTAATTGAAAATGTAGTAATTCTAATTGGTGATATCTTCATAAAATAGTATAGAAAAGATTTGAAATAAGCGAAAGAGATATCATCACATACTAAATGATTTACGAAGTAATGTCATTTAAAAAAAACGACAGTCCTGAAATTGCGTTGATGGAATAACACGTTTTGTTCCATAACTTATCATTTTTACAGCGCTTATTAACCACGTTCGTATAATGAACTTCAAAATTTTAAATTATGATCCTTTAGATTCATTAAATTTTTTTCCACGAGGTTACATTAACATTCTAGTCGTTTAGAAATTCTCAATAGAAATGTTTACTTATTAAGCTGTCTTAGTTGTGTTGATGTAGCAACGAGCTAATTCTCATTCTTTAATCAGAATTCAGTAACGCGCACTGACTGAGTTGAACATTTTCCTTGAGTATAGAATGCGGAACATTACTATACAAGTCAATCTTATGACCCATCACTAACCTATGCCTGCCCTATATGGTCCAATGCAGCTTTAAATCTCCCATAACAAAGTAAATCTAAATAATTCTAAGAAGTTCCAAAAATGTGGTTAAAAAAAGGAACTAACAATTAAGTATCTTCAATTATGAATATGTAGAAGTGGCCACATGACAGTAATAGAAATAAACGTGAATCCAATGTATTTATTAATACTCCCGAAAGGCAGCAATGCCAAACAGTGTTTTTTAAGAAGCTGGCGCACATGAGACAATGTGTCAAGACGTGGTATTGAGGGGCGTCCGGAGCGGAATTAATCGGCGACATTCTCCAACAATCACTGACCCATTTGCTCCAACTGTCCGACAAGGATTTGGATAAAGGATGTCTTGAACCATCGGATATGTCTGTACTTGAGAAGGGTTGCCAGTTTTGGTGCAGAATTTAATTGCGAATTGCTGCTCTGGGCTGTCTCCATAGCGCATTGACGGGCCTTCCGAGCAGAGTTTTACTCTACACGCGTCATGGCGCTCTAGACGTTTGGAGCCCAACTGCCACACATTGCGATGTGTTGCCAATTCTTCCAATACTGGTCCCAACTGTTGGGTACTCTCTACGTCATATTGTCACGTAAAAAAATGTGACGTATAACTTCACGGAGAAACCTTGTATTGAGTTGTATTGCGTATTCCCCAATCGACTGTGACGTCTGGAATCTAGGCTGTCTGTCTAGAAAGAGGTGCTGTTAATACCTACGAGGGTCGTTTTGGTAATCTTGAATTCCACGAAATGTCCCCCTTTCTTCTACATGCTTTTACCTAACTTTTCGTTAGGTTTATCTGTACTGAAGTGTTAAATTTCCTAACAAACAAATTTTCAAATCTTCAAATAAAACTGAGTTCTCTTTACAATATCACTGCTATATAGAAAAATTACACAGAGAGTATTCGATGATAGATTTTAATTGCACATTGTTCATCGTTTAGTGTTATACATATTTTACTACCTCGAGCGGTACGACAATGTGTCTTTTTGTTCCTCACATGACAGCTTTACAATGCGTGTTTATATTATTTATTTATTTTAAAAAGTGTGCTTGTTTTTCCCGTTTGTAAAAGCAACTATGATTTCGCGTATAAAAAGTACTACAATTTTAAACATTAGTTTAAAAAAACGTAACGCTAGATTTTATGCTCGGAGAAATCCACCACTGACGTCAATGTCAAGAGACCATTGCATTTCAAAAGAAGCCGACATATGTAAAATGGCTGGAGCGGCGTCAACGAAATGGAAATTTACCACGGAGACGGTTATTACGAGCCGATTACAATCGACGCGCGGCGTCGTGTTTCACCAGTGACATCGAGATGCGCCATTTAGTACGGACGGCAATTAATTAAGCGAACACTGCCTCGCCGGCCGCAGACGATTCCTCTGGGAGCGCAAAACTACCCGGCCGCTGCCCGAGCGTTCATTTGCGCTAAATGTGAGGAAGGCGAGATGGTCTATCTTGCGGCGGTGGCAGAAATACGTACATCGCATTTCCGACAAATGAATTGTAGACATTGGATGTGAATCAATAACAGATATTTGGGAATAGGCTTATATTACAAGTGAGTGAGTATTTCGTGTTTCCGTGCGTCAACTTCTTTGAACATTAATCCATTGTGTGTAGTGTAACAACGAGGCGACGGTATTGCTGGGAATTGAACCCCAGCATAGATAACAATATGATGGCTTTCTATTACTTGCTACACAGTAGGGTCTAATTCAATCGTTGCCTTCTAAAGAAGAGTTCTAATGATCAGCATCGGCTTAGGAGGCGAAGGGCGTCTGTTGAGGTAGCTGTAGTCCATCTGACTGAAGGTTCTAGGGTTCGAATCTCGATGACAGGAATGTCGACACCACTTACATATATCGGTCAAATTTAGTCGCTGCCTGGAAAATAATTCAAGCTGGGAACCCCTCCCCAAATTGACATGTAGATCTGCGCCAAATCCCAACATCCAACGAGGAAGGATCATTGCCATCTCCGTTATAAAACATTAACTACAACGAACTAATGACCTTAGCAGTTGATGCACCCGGAATCATTAATAAATCAATCATCAATCTAATGGTTTGCTTCTGAAATCTGTAGTTTTCTGAAGTTTATACGATCAGTGTCATGTGTTTACCGGAAAACAAACGCGCCACGAACTGCGCGCGATCATTTCGTTGTTATTCTTGCCCTCTTATTTTTTCTTTACACACACATACATGACTACCACACATCTTCGGAAGACCAGTGCTTTTATCGTCTACAGCAGGAAACTTGTGAACGGTCTGGAGAGAACGCCGAACCGAACCGATATTCGTGGTTCGCTTTCATTGTAGACCCAAACATAATCCGATTTTTCATAGTAATTCCATTTGAAAGTTGTGTACAGTACATTTTTAACTTAATACCCTTAGAAAGGTCAATTGTAAACGTACAATTGTGTACATTCTGTTTGTTATGTTCACTTAGGAGAAGTAGAAAATTAAAATTCCATGACGAGGTAATAGGTAAAAATGAGGATATTCGCTTGAAAGGCCGTCCAATAGCAAAAAGCACTTCATTCTCGCACATATTACGCCCGCGATTCCAGGAACAGAGATGAAAGGTACGGCAGGTTTATTGCCCGAACGAACGATGATGTCCTCATATTGCAGGCAACTTTATGCTCGTGCAGAATACTCGGGCCCGTGCTCGTGCACGTTCCCCACTCTCGTGTTCAAATGGGCGATGAAAATAGAGCGGAAGCTCCATTGAAAGAATTTGCATATTCGCATGTTAGTTTACGATGTGCAAACAATGAACGGCTGTTACAGTTACCATTTATATTTCATATTTTGAAGCACATTAGGGGGGGGGGGAAGGTAAGGGGGGATCGAAAATATAAGGGCAGAGGCGTTGGTGCGGACGATCTTCTGTGGCGCTGTTTGATTTCAGGTGCTGAGGAGGCAAAGCACTGGAAGGAGACGGCGGGACGCCCGCACCAGAAAATAATATAGCTAAAATACACGTCGTATAGATTAGAAGGTACTCGGCTTCTGACGGCAGGTTTTTCCCCCTTCAGGGGTTTTTTCCTGAGCCGTACCTTATGGTCTCTTTTCCGCGGCTTTGATGCGATGGAGAGACCATTTGGGGTGAATACCAGAATTCGAAAGATTAGAACGCGAAAGGATGTAGGTATTGTAATGGCTTAAAGGCCTTCGGCTTAGCCACATAGGATCAAGTAAGCTAATTTGTCTGTAATAATTACCTATTAAATAAATAAATATTTTGAAGCTGAGATCGTAGAATGTGCAATTTTTTTATCAGAAACTATCTTTACGATTAAGCTCACAAAACTTTGAGGACATAGAAAATATGTATTAAACACAGCTCGGCATAGCAATTAACATGCGTTAAATATATTAAAAACAGCTATAATGAATTGAATTACTATTAAGGATTTTCTACGCCGCTTGTTTATGAAATATCAACGATGATAATTCGCGTATACGAACAAACATAATTATCCATTTTAATTCAGGAATATCGAAATAACTCCAGAAAGTTGAATCGTTAAAAAATCACGGAACAAAACTTCAATTTTTTTAGGGAAAGCACACCTGAGATATTTCACTTATTTTCGTACAATTGATTTACTGGATATTTTCTTTTATTGTAAATCTTTTGTAAACTTTAATTTAATGTACATATCATTGAGGCTGCTCTTCAACTCGTGCACACTAAAAAAGCCCGCATAATTCTGGAAAAATAAAAACTCCAAACGTAAGACGTATATCTGATGTAATTAGTTATTATAAACAACAGCTTTCAATTATGGACGTGCATTGCATAAGACGCGAATGTATCTTTACATCCTACAGTATGCAAGTACAAGCCAACGGGTATCCCACATTATAAATCTCTAAATCTTCATCAATAGTTTCGCTTTTTTTTATAGAAAAAAGTAACAGTTCTCTCTGTATTTAGTCGACAACCCCCGTTTAAAATAATGACCACTAAAAGGAAAACTATCATAACTTCAGAAGTACGGCGTGGATTTTATATTTTAAAATTTTCAACAAGTAATTTGTTAACATCGCAAAACGCAACTCGAAGTATTGGAATAGGATGTAGTTGAGTTGACAATGGCGTGTACTCCAGAGATCACTCAACCCTGCAGCCATTGTGGCCGCCCACGGAGTCCCCTGCGGAGGGGATTAGAAGCCGTCGGGAGCGGAGGACGTGCCCCGGGCGCGTGGGCGATCCACCCGTGATGAATTTCGGCGGATTACGTGCGGCGCTTCACAATTAGAGCGCGTCCGAACGTAATCGGGTCCCTCAATCCCTCGCTCTCTGCCCTCTCGCTCTCTCCCCTCGTTGTCTTTCCCCTCGTCTTTCTCCTCGTTCTCTTTCCCCTCGTTCTCTTTTCCCTCGTTCTCTTTCCCATCGTTCTCTTTTCCCTCGTTCTCTTTTCCCTCGTTCTCTTTTCCCTCGTTCTCTTTTCCCTCGTTCTCTTTTCCCTCGTTCTCTTGCCCCTCGCTCCCTTGCCCCTCGCTCCCTTGCCCCCCTTGCGTTAAGCTCCGAGAATGTTGCTAGCTGGGTAGACACGTAATTCTGGCACCACAAGATATTGCACCACAAAAACGTGCTAGTTCGTCACGCTCTTCTACACAGTTTACACAGCCCGTGAATATCCACTTCGCCCCAAAACGAGACTAGGCGAATTCGGATTATAATTTTGACCACTCTAGCGTTTTACAAACAAATTTATTTTACGGCTCACATGAAGATAGTGTTAGCACTGATTTGAGAGAAATGCAAGACTACACGTGGCCATGTAATTAAGCACAGTCGAAGCACATGACTTGCGTCAGTGACTTGTAACTAATACACGATGTCATGCTGACAGGACTGTTTCATTAGCACCTTTGAATGTTGAAGATCACCGCACCGCAACAACCAAGATTTCTTGGATATTGGCAGAATGAATGAAAAAGGAACTGTAGCCTTGTCGCCATTGTCTCGTGCAACTATCTCGACTGCCTGTCTGATACACACTCATTCTCTGCACGACCGTTTCCGTCGCGACCGTTTGGAGAATCAAAAAGCTTTCTGGGAAATATATATAACTCTTTTTTGCATCAAAGTAGTTTGGAGAAAAGAAAGGTAATTTTTGTTTTATTCAACAGCATGACTCCCGCGACTCTTCGGGTCGAAGCGTTGAGTCAGTAGCTGTTGAGTCGGTCGTCTTAGTTTCCTCGACCATCCAGGTTGGCAAATGGTCTGTTAATTAAACAAATATTCTACACTTCATTATGCCTGTAGGGACTTTGTTGTTTTTTAATGTTGCTCTCTGGGGCGTAACGTCCAGGTGGTCGGAAGGACCGCTTGTCTTTCAAATTAAAGGCACATTATTTAATTTTGAAAATCGTAAAAGTAATTTATTTTCGTTGCTCTTTCAGCCCAAGTTGATTTTCGTGTTATCCTGAATTAAATTCTTAACCCAGTGTTCTCTAGAGGCTTACTGCAAGTTTGCAGTTTAGAAACTTACATAATTAGATATTTAATTTTTTTCTTCAATTTTTTTCCACTGATAGATCAAACAAATTTAAGAAATGCCGCAAGTTTTAATTTTCGTTGAGACCTCCGAATTTTCGAAAATAGCAAAAGTTATAAATAATACTAGAAGTATGCTGTTTTGGCCCCACTAGTTTTATTAAAATACGAAACGTACAGCTGACAGGTATTTAATAAAGGGTGCAGTACTTTAAATAATCGAATGCCTTTAATGAAGATGAATTTGAGAATGAGGCTTCAAATATTTATAGTAAAATGTGTTTATACAATAACACAATTTCTCAAGACCGATACACATGCTAGGAAAAAATGTTAATTTATCACTGCTATTTTGCTTTGAGAGACTAGGATTCCAGTTTCAAAGTGAAACAATGAGGAAGACGATACATCAGTACACGCAGTTATTAAAACAAAGCACTCTCACCTTACACACTTCGACGTTGGCAGCGCAAACTTGACAAAGTTTTGGCTAAGTTTTGGCGTTACGACCTTTCTCAGGGCGGGATGCATTTCGCCGCGAGGAAGGTTGCAGTATGACAGCCGAAATACTGTCAAGTCTATTTCGGACACGGTGTCTCTCGGCTAGACAAGTAGACCTTGACGCGGAAACCTAAGCTTTCATTTTACTCTCACCTTTATCCGTGAAATTGGTTGGTTGATCGATTGATTAAGTGATTCCAGGCGCGTCAGCAGTTGAGATCATTATTCTCGTAAATGTAGGGCATGTTTTTTATTGCGTGATCTTCCCCCGATGAATGCTGATATTCTACTTAGACCTACATGGGGGCTAGCAAAGATTTCCCCAACCAGGTGTCTCCATCAGTGAAGCACCGTCCCAGCCGGACACACTCAAAGCGCAGATTATGTGTTGGTGTAATGCATGTGAGTGTAAGCGTTTGTAACTAAGGGATAAAAATAGGATAAAGAAGAGGAAGGTAAGATCGCGCGCGGTACTTGGCCTGTTTGTTAGGGTACTGCTCAGGCATTCAACTAATATTTATCGAAAAAAACACGAAAATCTACTAATCAGAGCAACCGACTGCTAGAATTCTTCTCCAGGCCGCGAATGAACTCGACCCAGCAATCTATTGTCGCAAATCCTAGCACCGTCGGTATTAGAAGATGGGACCCCTCTGTCAGAGGCACTGCAGTGACATATTTTGATGCTCTGAGCCTCAACTCCCGGTGTGGAATTGATAACAGTCACTTCCCACAGCTTACAAATCCATGTTAATTAGTGTTATTACGATAGTGTTTCAAAACAAAACTCTTCTCAGAGATCAGCATCTCCGCTCGCGTTCTTTGTTTACGTTTTGTTTCCACCTCGCGATTACGGGGCAAATGGAAAAGAGTAAACACGGGTTGTAGTGCTCGTGTCGGCGATCGCCGGCGAGGCGGACGTGCTGAAGGCGTGCGGCACGCGAGGGCCCCCGCCTTCGAAGGCATCGATTCAGCGCCGTCCGATGTAGGTCGCGGTCAAGGCGAAGGGACTCATTATTGCAGCGCGCGGTGAACCGACCGCTTGCTGGTTGGTTAGTTGTTAGTGATTCCAGGTTCGTCAACTACTAAGGTCATGAGTGCCGTAAGTGTAGTGGATGTTTTTGCTTGGGCGGTCGCGGTGAACTTCTGCCGCCGGATGGCGGGATCCAGCGCCGACCTACTTTCGACTAGAGGGTTTTCTCCAACTAGGTGTCTCCCACCAGCGGGGAACCGCCCCAGCCGGGACAAGCTCTAAGCTCCCGACCGGTCTCCCGGCATGTGTGGTAGTGTAGTGCGTATGCGTGGATGTGTAAGTAAGGGATGTGGAGATAACAAGGAAGGAGACATCGGGCACGGACTGTGATCCATGTGTAAGAGTACTGCTTCCCCATTCTTTTGGTGTTGATAGGAGAATCAGAGCAGCCGGTCGCTAGAATTCTTCTCCAGATAGCGGCTGAGTTCGATCTAGCTATGAAGCTAGTGTCAAAATCCTGCCACAGAGAGTGGAATCCTAGGATGTTCCAGTCAGAGTCAGTGCATTGACATCAGTTAATGCTCTGAACCATTTCTGTCAGACCACCCGCTCCCGTGCACGCCCTCGTCGCGCAGGTAGAGCATTGCCTACCCCGTAATTCAAGTTTGCACGCCGAAATATGTAACTGCGGTGCGACCTAGCGGTGTGTTTTGCTAGGTAATGTTGCCGCTATCGTTACCATTAAAGCAGTTCTTGACGACGATCTCGTTATTGCAGGCGATGTCATAGTTATCGTTGTCATCGTTGTTGTAGCCTTCGTCGTCGGTGTTGTGACCGTCGTAGTCGTCGATATCGTTGTTGCAGTTATCGTCCTTGTGGTCGTCCTTGTAATTATCACTATTTTCATGGATGACGTGGTCATCGTCGTTGACGTTATCGTCGTAGTCAAAGTTGTCATCGATAGTTCCTTTCATTAATGTCCGTGTTTTTCGAAAATGTGTATTGGCACGACGTGGGGCGGGATTTTTCGAAATTGAACATTGGCACACATTCATCTACGAAATGTTTTATTGTGAATTTTAGGATTTGGTACCGCAATTGCTAACAACACTACAGATGAATTTTTGACTCTTATCCTTGCAGAACGTGAACTCAAAGTAAATTAATGGCCGAAAAAGGGTTAGAGAATATTTTTGAAATACAAATAAAGTAATATTTTGGTGCTGAACATTTACGAGAATTGAATCGATAATACCAACAGTTACTATATTTGTCATGTAAATATTTATAAAGACCTTCGTTGTAATACGATGAGAGACCCTTCAGCCAAACTCGAGATATTAAAATCTTCGAATAGCGGAAGTTTTGCTGAGGCCGGTGCAGCTTATCTTGTAACTGCCCCAAGGCATTCAGCTCCAATCTTTACTTAGGCAAGTCACGAGAGCGCCAGCGCGAGGTCTTCCGCGAGATGGACTAGCGCCGGGAGAAGTCTATTCCTGGCGCGCCGAGAGCAAACGGGAGCGAGGCAGGGGCGAGGAAGTAGGGGCACGGGACGGCGCGGGGTGGTGGTGCGGCGCGGGGCGGTGGGCGCGGGGTGGCGCGCCGAGGCGGGGCGGGGCGCGGGCGGGTTCGGGGCGGGGCGCGGGAGCGGGCGCGGGCGGGGCGCGGGCGGGCGCGGGGCGGAGGCGCGGGCGGGGCGCGGGCGGGGCGCGGGGCGCGGCCGGGCCGCGGCGCGGGCGCGGCGCGGGGCGCGGCGCCGGCGCGGGGCCGCGGCGCGGGCGCGCGGGCGCGGGGGCGCGGCCGCCGGGGGCCCGTGCGGCGCAAATCATCCCCCGCGGTGCGTAGGTATTCCTGGCTGCGCGCCGCAAAACGCCGATCGAGGCAGCCCGCGCCGGCTGAGCGGGTTGCTGAATGGGCGGGAGGCGCCGGGGCTGATGCACGCGCGCGCCGCTAATGGGCTATTTCCGAGCGGCGGCGCGGCGGATATCGGCCGCGGAGCGCGCAGCGCGAGAGGCGGATCGCGGGCGCGGGGCGGCAGGGCGGGGAGATGCGTGATGGAGAGGGTGTAGCGGGAGCAGGGTGTAGCCGGGTCACGAGAGTGGACCTAGATGTAGAGCTAGACGGGGTGAGAAGAACGGACTAAGATGTGAAAGGCATAGAGGTTGGGAGTTATGTTGGGAGGGATGTTAGCGAGGCAGGGAGGGTGTGGAGGGACGGCGAGTGTCGAAGGAGTGGGGAGGGGAAGCAAATTGTAAATAGGAGTGTGTTGATGAGAAGCCAGATGGGCTATCTTTAGCGGGGGCGGGGAAGAGTGAGGTGGGAAGGGAGAAGCGGGGTCGCAAAGGTGAAGCGGGGCCACTAATGTGGAGCTGGGCGATGTGGGAAGAGTGGAGGAGAGAGAGGAGGGTGTAGCATGGCAGGGAGGGAGTAGGTACAGGTCGAGAGTGAAGCGGACTAGGGAGAGCGGAGAGGAGTGGGAAGGGTGAATCAGGAATGGTGTGAAGGGACGGCGACAGTCGAACATGTCAGGCAGGGTGGAGTGGGGAGGGGAGGGTGAGGATGTTCGTTGTGGAGAGGTGCGAAGCGGGAATAGTGCAGCGGTGTGGAGGCAGAATGGGAAGAGAGGCGGTGGCAAACGGAGTGGGAAGAGTAGGATGGGGAGTGTAGTGCGAGGTGAGGAGGGTGTAGCTGGGCGGGGAGGGAGTAGTAAGGCGAGGAGTGGGTAGCGGGACGGGGAAGGGCTGGGCGAGAAAGAGTGGAGTTGATAAGAGCCTGGAGGTAGGAATTAGAGATTAGGTGGGAAGGAGCGACGTTTGATTGACGGGATGGGGGAATTAAAAAAAAGGTTGTGGCAAAAGAGATGCGAAGGCGGATAACTGTAAGCTGAGGTGTACGGAGTTAGGAGAATCGGGGAGCTCGGGAGGCCTAAGCAATGCGAAAGAGCGAGTCGGGGCTGGGTAATGCGGAGCGATTGCAAGTCCATGCAGAACGGATAATGTAGTGGGCGAGTGCTTTGACCGGATCGGGGAAATTGTGCGACCAGACAGAACGTGGGGCGGAGCTGTCAAGAGGACAGCTGAGGGGCGAGGTCTGCTGTGGGGAGGGGGCAGCGAGGTTATGGTAGTGGCGAAAGCTTTCCGGGAAGCGAGTCTGTCTGATTCAGGGGTTGAGCGTGCGGATAGCCTGGGGGCGAAGCGGCACGTCCTATTCAGGCTCGAGATTGCGAGGCGGTTGCACGAGCAGAACTGGCGGGAAGCGTGAAAGCAAACGTGATGGGGGGGAGGCGAGGATGGGAACATAGTAGCAAGCGCAAGCGTGATGGGATGTGTAAACGAGGATGCGAGAGAGTCGGGAGGTGAAGGTGCGAACGCAGCGTGGAGAAGGGAGATGCACACGTGGCGGCAAGAGATGGAGTGAGCTGGTCGGGATGTGTGGAGACATACGTAACGTTCGTGGTGGGAAAGGCTCTACGGATGGAGCGAGCGGCGTATCGGGGCAGGAGCATTTGCACGCCCCGGCACCGCGCCCAACTGTTGGGGCGTAGCTGGCGGCCGTTATGCGACTGCGGTGGTTGGTGGCGGTCGGACGGTTACAATGGCGCTCGTGGCGGTGGTTGCGGGAGCGTCGGTTGCGGGAGAGGCGGTTGCGGGAGAGGCGGTTGAGGGAGAGGCGGTTGCGGGAGAGGCGGTTGCGGGAGAGGCGGTTGCGGGAGCGTCGGTTGCGTGAGCGTCGGTTGCGTGAGAGGCGGTTTCGGGAGAGGCGGTTGCGGGAGAGGTGGTTGCGGGAGAGGCGGGCGAGGAGGCACATTAGCGCGCAGCGGGAGGGAGAGGGGCGGGACGCACCAAACGGTAGTAGTAGCGGAAGCGGTGGCAACTGACGAATATTGTGATAGACTGTAAACACTGTGTGAAGCAGTAAGAAAGGTATTAGGTGAAGAAGAAATCTATGGAAGCGATCCGAAGGTGAGGGGTGATATGGTGGATTAGATTAAATGGTGATTTATGGGTGATTTGTACCGTGAAGCAGGAACGAAACGAGGTTACGGATTGGATGAGGAAGCTATAAAAACAAACAACAGTTGCAGAATAATTTCGGAAAAATTATGCGATTAAAGTATGTAAGAGGATTTTGGCATAAAGTCGTGGGAACTATATCTTTTTTTGAGAATAAGATCACGGGTGGAAAGTTTAAAATATGCACATGAAAGTTCAAGGAATGAACTAAATGCATGAACATTTAAGATCACCCCAAAATTGGGTTTTCCCATATTTATTAAGGTATGTATTTGAAATGACAGTTTTGGCTTCATGTTCCAAAGCATTATAGCATAGAAGTCAGTTAACCACAATATTCAAGGAGTATTACTCGTACATATCCATTCTAGAGGCTCGATTACGCAGATGCTCGTCTACAGCACGTGCCACATCTGCCTGCACACTCACAGACCGTCACTTACTTTGCTGATCATTGTTTGCTTCACGTCCACGCAAGAACCTTCCTGCCCATCTCAGAACTGTCCGGCAGTATGAACAGAATGTTCCGGTTGTAACATTCTCGGGCATTTCCCTCATGGAGAACGGCTTTCTTGGTGTTTGAGCGCTGCTATTGCATTCATCCCACACGGCAGCAGTCAGACAACTGATTTCACATTCCTCTCTGTACAAATAGAGACCCACGCATATCCATCTGTTGTGAACACACATTAGAACAGTATTTAATTCACGCGACGAATAAAATTGAATAGTCTCTCAACATTCCTGTGAGAAAGAAATAATTGCCAAGACATCTGCTCCAACCCTCGCATATACCACTGTCTGGTTCGAGACCCAACAATGACGGATTTTCGCCACTTATCCTGAGGAGAATTTATCGCTGGCTGTCCTGGAAGATTGTTTTTCGTGGTTCTCAAAACCAGGCGAATTCCACAGCAACACCCTAACAAACGCGTCATGGGCCGCGCTCGATCTATCTTTCCTCTCCCCTATCCTATCCTCACCCCTTACTTACACACACTTCCATTTACACGCACTACACTATTACACAAGTCGGGAGCTTAGAGCTTGTCCCTGCTGAGGCGATGCTGCACTTAGAAGATAACTGGTGGCAGAAATCTCGCAGGTCGACTTGTGAGTGGTGCCGGATCTTAGTTTCCAGTGGGTAACACAACCACCTGCAGTCACCACGCTGCAGTCACTATGAGCACTACACTCACTGGAGCAATGATGGAAGTAGCTGAGGCGTCCGGAAATACGATACTCCATTTCAGTGATCCAGCTGTGAATATTTGAGTGGGTCCGTAATGTCAGCGGCAACCCGAAATGCCTGTACGACTGTGCTGCCGGCGTGCCACAACAGTAGTGAGAAGGCCAGGGCTGTTTGAAGCGGAGTGGTGGGAAGGGGTGGGGGCGGGGGGCCGTCGCCGGAAGTGTCGGCGAGCGGAACGGTGCTTCGCCAGCGCCTGCGCCGGCAGATTGCGGAATCAATGGGCGGCGCGCCTCCGACGATGCTTTGCGGGCGCGGCGAGGGCGATAGAGGAAATACGCGGCTACAATGGCTTCGGGACGGTTCGTGGGACATTGGTGGAAGCCGCTGGGAAAGACACAGGCTGGATGAATAACTGTCATGAAGTTTTACTGTGGGGAACATTATATTATTGGGTGAACACTGCGAGTATTCAGTACTTTGGAAAATGTATGTATTTGGCATTTTGGGGCGATTGGCCAACTTAGTCAGTAGCTATGGGTGGCCCCAGTTTAATTCTCAAGGAGGTAAGAGACGCGAGTGGCGAACATGACGTATTCCCTTCACCATAACTATTAAGATCCGCCTGCCTGAGATTTTCTTCGTCACACAGCTACAGAAACTCAGACGATTTTAAAGGAAAACGTCTACTATTATTTTTGCTTAAACAGGGAATCCTACTCAGCTACATAGCTAGTACAAGGCTTATGAGCTATCCTAAAAGCACTTTTGA